CCCTTGCCTTCCCCCGGGGGCCGTCCGAAAGCCGCTCGGACTGAGACGCCAGTCCCCCTGGAAGGGGTCCAGACCTCTGGGGGGCCACGCTGCGGACGAACTCACGACGTCGGATGTCTCGGAACGGAGGGGAGGGGAGTGGGTGGGTAGGAATTGAGCGAGGGAAGGCACGGGAGAGGAGACGAGAGGGCGGAGGGGACAAGCTAGGTGTGTTCGCGCCGCATCTGACATCCACATTACAGCCAGACCGAAGTATAAGATCCAGGTCGGATCGGAGAGAGTCCCCTGTAGTGTTCTTCGTGCTTGTTGGATGTCCTTGTGGATCCTAGGGAGGGTGCCCCTACATGTTCTGTTCGTTTTGGCCGACGGGGTGTCTCATGGTCTTGAGGGATGCTCCACCCATCCCTTCCCATCGCGCTGCGGTTTCTCTATCCGCCGACGGGTGCCATAGCGGACCGTGAACCTTTCCAATGAGTCCATCGTTCCATGCGCAATCAGAACGGGGAGCCGGAGGAGGAGCAGGAAGAGGTGGTCGATGCGCAGGAGGGCGAAAGGGGGCGACACCGACGAGGATGGACTCGGAAAAAGATATATGACCCGCGCCTGGGCGAGAGCGTTATTCTGGCGATCATTCAAATGAGGGCAAATGGCCGATCATTCAAATGAGGACAAAGTTGCGGCGGCACAGTTTCGAAACATCGAACAGGCTCCGATTCGAAAACAATCATATTAAGATAAACTGCATGAAGTTATGAAGGGAGATGGTTGGATACATTCAGGACCATGCCGAGGGAGAGAAACATAGTATTTATATGGGGTATTTGTATATATCTGCATGTATAATCAGAAGAGGGGAACGATAACGAGAGAACGAGATAACGACTTTGAAACAAGTAGCGAGATTGAAACAAGTAGCGAGAGAGAGAGAGAGAGAGAGCGAGCGAGATAGAGAGAACGAAGCCCAAGGAGAGGAGAGGGAGGTGAGAAGGAGAGACGGGAGGGATGGTATCGAGATGACAGGAGAAGGGGAGGAGAGAAAGGTAGGGATCGAAAGGATGGGCGGGAAGCAGAGAGGGAGTGGAGAGGGAGAAATAGTACACAGAGTGAGGGGAGTTCCCTCCAGAACTCCTCTTTGTTAGAGACCCCTGGAAGCTCACGACAGCACCTGAAAACCCTTGTCCGCGGAGGTCCCCGAAGGCCTCCAAAGGCTCCCGAACGTCCCAAAGAGGACAAACACGCCCAACAGTATAACTGCTTCTGCATGTTCGTGGGGTAGCGGTCGTTATCCAGAAGGGGGATTTGGACCCAAACACGTCCAAACAGGGTCAACGCGTCCTAAAGCGGTCAACAAAAAGGGTCAACACGTCCAAAAAGGAACAACACGCCAAAACGTGTAATTGTTGTTGTATTTATGTTGGGGGTGACGGTCTTCATCTAGGAGGGGGATTGGGGCCCTGGGTAATGTTCATTGTAGGTGTCCTGGATGGGGTCGGAGTAAATGGGGTCGGAGGATCGATCCACCCCAGACCTTCGACGTCACTACGTCTTCGCGGCTCTTCATCCCGATCCGTTGTCTTGCTGGTCGCGGGGCTTGTTGAGGACCCCCGAGGCCGAATATGGGCGGAGGCCTTTTTTTCCGCCGCCTCTTTTTTCACAACGCGAGGGTGTCAGGGTCGATCCTCGATCCGCAGCCGATTCTGAAAGGAGTCGGTCGCGGCCGAGCCCGAGAGGTCTGCTGCCACATTCTGGAGCGACCGACCCCCGCGAGTGACTCGAGGGCGTCCAAGAGGCGGGTGAGGACTCAGTGTGTGGATATCATGGGCCCCTCTTCTTTCGGCGTCGAGCGAGGGGCGGAAGCGAGAGGGGGCGGGCCTTCTCAGAAGGCTCGGAAGTCCCACGGCCTTCTGAGAAGTGTTCTAAGACTTCCCCGAAGACAGAGACAACTTCTCAGAAGGCGCAAGGGCTTCTGGGAAGTCCCGCCGCCTCCTGAGAAGGCCTTCTCCTTTCCGCTTCCCCCCTCGCTCGCCGCCAATTCCTGCAGAGCGTTCCCTGGCCCCCCCCTCGTTCGCGCACATGGCTCGGGCCACGTTGCGCACTCCTGGCCCCCCTCTTCGCCCCCCCTTCTCCCGGCCCCCCTCTTCGGTGCACCCGCGCGGCGTGGCCGGGACGTTCCCGTGCCGGATGATGCAGGGCCTTCCTTCCGCTTTCCCCGAACGAACGATCGAGGTCTTCGATCTTCCATGGTTCTCTTCCTCCCCTGGCATCCTCACGCCACGGGTGCAACATCGGCGGGTACAACATCGGCGGGACTCCCATGGTAATCCTCTCGTCCGGGTGCTCGTGCTGGGACCTGGGCCGTCGCGCATACAGACTCGGGGTAAAACGGGGGTCTCCGGGAAGGGGTGCATGACGTTGGGGGAGCCGCGCTGTGAAGACTGACTACCTCCGACCCAGAGCATCGACTGGTCAATGTCCTCGATCCTCGAGCCTTTCTTCTCCCTCCTTGAGGTTGCAACTCCTGAGAGGTTTAGTTCACCGCCTTGCATCCCTGGTCGAACTCTTGTCCAATCCAGGCTTGTTCCGCTTAGCCGGGCGCTTTGTAGCTTGATATGTGATTCCCATCGGGCATGATCTGACTCAATCGCCGCGCCATCGAGGGAGCTCCCACCACGATCTCCAAGGAGTTGCTTCCTAACCTCTCGCAGGACGACCCAGACACCCGACGACATGTTTTTTTGTCCCCCGAAGCTTGGCTCCCCAGGATGTCTGGACCCAGGGGTCCGCTTGTCGCCCCGAGCCGCTCTTTGACGGCCTCACGGGCCCTTGCCCCCCCCGGTGCCGAGAGAGTGGCGGCAAGCCTCCGCCGCGGGAGTTCTGGGACCTCGGTCCTGGCCCCCCCCTCGGGAGGAGCCTGGCCAGGGCACCTTGGCACCTGGTGGCGTGTGTGCCTGCTGGCGCCGCCGCGGGCGCGCCAGGAGGGGCCATTCCGATCCTGGGCCGATCTCCGCGCCGGCGGGCGGGGCCGGCGAGGGACGAGGAAGGGGGGGGGGGGACACGCAACGGGGGGCCCGGCAGGGAGCCTGGCCAGGGGCTCCCCTCCTCGGTCCCGAGCCTCCGGCAGGCCCCCGCCGACAAGGGGGGCGGTGTCTCCGGCAGGGTGGACGAGATGGTGCGGGACCGCCTCGCGCGGCGCCGGCGGAATCGCAGGAGGAGGAGGAGGAGGAGGCGGAGGAGGAGGGGGGGGAGGAGGAGGAGGAGGAGGAGGAGGAGGAGGAGGAGGAGGAGGAGGAGGAGGAGGAGGAGGAGGAGGAGGAGGAGGAGGAGGAGGAGGAGGAGGAGGAGGAGGAGGAGGGAGGAGGAGGATGAGGAGGAGGAGGAGCAGGAGGAGGAGGAGGAGGAGGAGGAGGAGGAGGAGGAGGAGGAGGAGGAGGAGGAGGAGGAGGGAGGAGGAGGAGGAGGAGGAGGAGGAGGAGGAGGAGGAGGAGAGGAGGAGGAGGGAGGAGGAGGAGGAGGAGGAGGAGGAGGAGGGGAGGAGAAGGAGGAGGAGGAGGAGGAGGAGGAGGAGGAGGAGGAGGAGGAGGAGGAGGAGGAGGAGGAGGAGGAGGAGGAGGAGGAGGAGGAGGAGGAGGAGGAGGGAGGAGGAGGAGGAGGAGGGGAGGAGGAGGAGGAGGAGGAGGAGGAGGAGGGGAGAAGAGGAGGAGGAGGCGGAGGAGGCGGGGGGGAGGGGGAGGAGGGGAGGAGGAGGAGGAGGAGGAGGAGGAGGAGGAGGAGGAGGAGGAGGAGGGGGAGGAGGCTGTCACCTTTTTATGTCTACATATTCTCCACGCCAGCCAGCAACCCTTGGAGCGGTGCTCCAGGGGTCGCCTGGCTTTAGTATGATTGGCTTCCCCCAGGGACGACCAGCCCTGGAGGGGGGGAGGCTTCGTCAGACGACACTGCGGCCTTCAAGTGTCAGGTGTCAAGAGACGGAGGAGGAGGCGGGCAGGGGGTCAGAGCATGTTCGAGTGTTTTTGTTCGCCGCTTTCGGCCTCTGGAGGTCCGCTTCGCTTCGTGCCCTGGGCCTGTTAGTTGGGGACTGATTCCGATCCCGTTCCTAGCCCGTGCCCTCCCTCGTTTTCGCCTTTTTGGGTCTCCCGTGGGCCCCCCAGCGCCATGGGGATGAAGAATATGATGATGAGATCGAGGAGACGGATGAGGATGAGAAGGAGGTTTTCCCCTTTTTGGAAGTACTCAGGGGAATGTGAAGGACGAGACGCATGAGGAGGAGGAGGAGGAGGAGGAGGAGGAGGAGGAGGAGGAGGAGGAGGAGGTTGAGGAGGTTGAGGAGGTTGAGGAGGAAGAGGAAGAGAAAGAAGGGGCTGGGAGTAGTGAAAGATATCAGAAGGATGAGGAGGAGGTGGAGGGGGAGGGGAGGGGAAGCAGGGGAGGAGGCCGCCTCGCTCCCCTCCCCTTCCTCCCCCGCCCCACACACCCTCGCCCCGCTTCGCCTTCCTGCCTGGGCTCGGCCGGGGCGCCGCGGCGCCTGGAGCAGGGAGCAGTCAGGGGTCCCAGGTCCAACGCAATGAAAAAATCAAGACGGAAGGTTTTCGCAGTTTTCGGCCTCCAGGGGCCCTAGCCGGGCCCCCCGACCGTCAAAAAACGACTCAGGATGAAAAGCCGGTCCTGGGGGATGAGTCGAGACTCCCGGGGACCGCGTATCGAACAAATCACGACATCGGATCTCTGGGTATGGGGACGTCACGCTGTTCATCGTAGAACCATCGAAACCCAAGAAACACAGGGCACCCTGGAGGCAAGCAGGGTGCTTCTTGGCATGGGCTTCACAGTAGGGGGTCGGCAGCAGCTCTCGCGAAGGGGCAGCCATGGCAACGGCGCGCACGCAGGGAGCTGCACCGAGCCAGGCGGGCTCAGATGCTGCCCCCTGCCGCGGCCACGGCAGTGGCGGGGGCGACCTGGGCGCAGCCTGTGTGCCGTAGGTTCGCGCCGTGTCGACCGGCGGCGACCCCGCCGCCGGCGTTCAACGTTGAACGCCGCCGGCGACCCAGAATCGGTCGATGTTGAACGATGGGACCTTGCGGCAGCAGCCGATCCTTCAAGGTTGAACGATCCCCGCGGTGTCGGGGACCAAGGCCGCAGTCGACACGACACGAACCTGCGGTATCCCCCTCCGACGGCAGGGTTTTCTCCGCTTGCGGCGGCGCCGCGCGTTCGCCCTCGTCGAGGGCGAGCGAGCGGCAGAGGCAGGAAAACGTTCGGCGTTCCGCGCGGACGCCTCGGGGCCGCGCCACTCTCGCGGCGCCTGGCTGTCCCGAAGGTCGTCGGTCCATTTGGTGCGTGCCGTCACTGCCTCGCGCTTGTCGGGGGCACCGTGCCCCCTGCGTGGGCTCGGCGCCGCTGGCGTTCGCCTCCCCGCCCTGGCCGCTGCCGACCTCTTCCGGGGAGAGCCCGCGGGCGCCGCGGTCTTTGGCGGAGGCCCCCCGTCCTCCTCGGCGGACCGTGGCGCGCTGGCCCGCCCTCATCCCTCCCCCCCTCCTCCATCACTCCTCTCCTCCTCCTCCTCCTCCTCCCCCCTCCTCCCCCCTCCTCCCCTCCCCTCCTCCTCCTCCTCCTCTCTCCTCCTCTCCTCCTCCTCCTCCTCCTCCTCCTCCGTCTCTCCTCCTCCTCCTCCTCCTCCTCCTCCTCCTCCTCCTCCTCCTCCTCCTCCTCCTCCTCCTCCTCCCTGCCCCGCCCCACCGACCCTGCCTCTGCGCTCGCGGCGTGGCACGGGGCCGATCTCGAGAAGGCGCGGCAGGGGGCGGCAGGTGGCTGGCGCGCGCAGGGAGCTTCTGCAGGTGCCCGCGCAAGAGCTAAGGTCCCCCGAGGACCCCGAGGCGAGGACGCGTGTCAGGAGGGGAGCAGGGAGAGGAACAGGGGATGATAATGAGGAGGAGGAGGAAGAGGAGGGATGGAAGGGGGGTGAGGGGGAGGGGGAGGAGGAGGAGGCGAATGGGTGCAGGGGGAGGGGGGAGGGGGGGAAGGACGGGGGGACGAGGAGAGAGAATGATCACTTATTTGTTTCCTTTCCACCTCGACCCCATTGAGTGCGGGGACTCATCCTACGACCCTTCACGACAAGCTCAATTTCTGAGCTGACTGCTGTAGGATGGCGTCTTCTCGAGGATCAGCAGCAGCCTGCCGCCGCCGCCTCGTCCTCCCCATCCTCTCGCTCCTCCTCCTCCTCCTCCTCCTCCTCCTCCTCCTCCTCCTCCTCCTCCTCCTTCCCTCCTCTCCCTCGTTCCTCCCTCCTCCCCTCCTCTCCTCCATCCTCCGCCCTCTCCTCCGATGTTTTGCGATGCCCTCTATGCCCCCTTGCGGATTGGCAGAGAATGGCGGCCTTGTTGGCCAGCATAGGCTCCGTATGATTTCAATCACTCCCCAGAAGTATCGATCTCGCTGTTCGAGTTTGGTGATTACCTCCTGGCCGTTCATGGCGCCGTCCATCTATTTTCCCTCTCCCTCCCTTCCCCTCCTCCCCCCCCGCCTCCCCCGTCCTTCCAGCCTCCCCCCTCCCTCCCCTCCTCCCTCCCCCCCTCCGCTTTCTCCACTCCCCCCTCCTCGAAGAACAAGTAAGTCTTGGCATAAACCATATTTCGGAGGTTCGCGCTGATTTCTTGCATCGGCGCCGGGCCCCCCTCCCCGGCGCGCGGAGCGCGCCAGGGGCGGCGCTGGAGGCGCCGCCAGGGGGTTCCATCGCCGATCCGAGAAATTCGCGCAGACCTCCGAAGTTTTGTTTGTGTTTATATCACGCAACTGGAGCCAATTGCGGAAGGTCCGCATTGGCCGCCAGGGACTGCTTCCCGAAGGCTGATGCGGACCCCCGCAATTGCAGCCAATTGCGGCGGCTTCACAGGGTCGGTTTGTCCCCCCCCTCTTATTCCCCTGGGGTTGGCAGCTGGTGCGACGGTGCCATATTCTCAGGCAAGTTTTGCAGAGGAGCTACCCGTAGATGTTCGAGAGTGCACAATGTACGTCTAGTACTTCTCAGAGGATTCCCACGGTACTCCTTCCCTCTCCTTTCTTGGGCAAGCCGCAGAGCGAAAGTTCGAATCGTCAGGAAGCGGACACAAACGTCTGCATGCCCGCCGCAACGCCCGCTCCTACTGCCAGCAGGCTGATGGTCAGAGAGACACCCGTGGTCAAGGGTGAAAAGCACAGAGGGAGAGAAAGCACCGCGCAGAGTCACATAGAGATGAGGAGCAGCAGCAAGATGGAAGTAAGTACGATGAGAAGAGACTCCTTCCCCCTCCGTCCTTCCCCCTCCTTCCTCCTCCCCTGCCTTCTCTTTTCTCTCCCCTCCTCCCCCTCCCCATCCTTTCCCTCCTTCCCCTCCTCCCTCTCCCTCCCTACTCTCCCATTCCCCGCCCGCCCCCCCCCTCCCCGCCAGCCGTGCCCGCCGCAGAAGGAAATGTGCAGGACGCGCCCCGACCACCCGCAGTGCGTGGCCTACGCCCGCGCGGAGGCGCCCCGCGCCGCGCGCTGCCTCGGAAGCTGGGCGGATTCATCCGGTGCTTCACTCATTCGGGCAAGCCCATCCAGTCAAATTCATCCGATCCCATCCAGTCAAGTCCATATCCAGGACTTCCTCCCCTCCTCCCCCCTTTCGTCATAACTTCTCATTGTCTCGCTAATCATTTGCATGCTTGCGTGTAGTCCATACGTCCAGGTTTCAGGAGGCCACGGCCTCCCCCACCAGGTCTTGAGTAGGCCCGGACAGCTTTCCGCAGTGGTGGTTCGTTCGTTCGTTCGTTCGATCCCTTATTCATTTGCGCCTAACTCATCCGCTGTTGTCTAATTCGTCCGATCTATAATTCATCCGATGCCTTTCTCGTCCTGGCTAACTTATCCGGTGGCTAATTCATCCTGTCGTGCTCATCTTGTGAGTATTTCATCCGGTGCCTGACTTAACTGAACCAGGCCAGCCCATTGGATGCCCAAACTCATCCGGTCAGCCTAATTAGCGCATCCGATGCCCAAACTCATCTGGTGCCAAACTCATCCGGTGATAGTCTCATCCGGTCCATAACTCATCCGGTTGCAAGCTCATCCGGTGCCTAAAGCTATCTGGGGCCAGACTCATCCTGTGACTGATTCATCTGGTACCCTAACTCATCCGGTGCCATAGCTCAGGTACTCTAACTCATCCGCTGCCCTACTCATCCGCTGCCCTAATCCGTCCAGTGCCGAATTCGTCAGGTCGGTTACTCGTCGAAGGCCCTAAACTTCTCCAACCCAACTCATCTGGCACTTGTATGTGCATGCACGGATATGCTTGACTACAAACAAAGTTTGTGGTCAAGAAAATGATGGCTCCCCATCTGCCCCACGATGCCCCCAAGAAACCCTCCAGAATAACACAAATAAGTATCTAAGAAACCCGGCTTAAGGAAGCCACTTCCGCATCGGGAAGCGTTATCCCCGCACCGAAAGGATGATGTGGCTATCGCCTCACGTAGCGCCGCGCGCATGCGCTTCAAAAACTTGCAAAAGTTTCATGGATGGAGGGCGGCTCGTTGCTCTCGCCTCAGCGTTGCGCACATTCGTTTCAAACATTTGCAATAATTTCACGGGTGCAGGGTGTTTCGTTGCTCTCGCCTCAGCGCCGCGCACATTCGTTGCAAACACGTTGCAAGAGTTTCACGGATTAAGGGCGTTCGTTTTCGAAACGTTGTTCTCGCTTCAGCGTTGCGCACATTCTTTTTCAAAATTTGCAAGAGCTTCATGGATGGAGGGCGGCTCGTTTTCAACATGCGGTTCTCGCCTTAGCGCCGCGCACATTCGTCTTGAACTTTGCAAGAGGTTCACGGATGGAGGACGGGTAGTTTACAAATTGTTGTTCTCGTTTTAGTGCCGTGCACATTCGTTGTAAAAAACGTTGCACAAGCTTCACGGATGGAGGGCGGCTCGTTTTCAACATGTTGTTCTCGTCTCAGCGTTGCGCGCATTCGATTCTTAAGTTTGCAAGGGCTTCACGGATGGAGGGCGGCTCGTTTTCGAAATGTTGTGTTCATTTCAACGCCGCGCGCATTCGTTTTGAAAAATTTGCAAGAGCTTCACGGGTGGAGGGCGGCTCGTTGCTCTCGCTTCAGCGCCGCGCACATTCGTTGTAACAACGTTGCAAGAGCTTCACGGATTGAGGGCGGCTCGTTTTCAAAATGTCGTTTTCGCCCCAGCAGCGTTGCGCATTTTGAAATTTAAAATGTTGCGATCGTTTGCCACATGTTGTTCTCGCCTCAGCGCCGCGCATATTCGTGTTGAACAAATTGAAAGAGTTTCGCGGATGGACGCCGGCTCGTTTTTACATTTGTTCTCGCCTCAGCGCCACGCACATTCGTTTTGAACATGTTGCAGGAGCTGCACGGATGGAGGGTGGGTCGTTTTCAAAATGTTGTTTTCGCTTCAGCGCCGCGCACATCAGTTTTGAACATCTTGCAGCAGTTTCACGCATGGATGGCGGCTCGCTTTCGAAATGTTGTTCTCGCCCCAGCGCCGCGCACATACGTTTTGGAAGTGTTGCAGGAGTTTCACGTTCGGAGGGCGGCTCGTTTTCGAAATGTGGCTCTCGCCTCAGCGCCACGCGCACTCGTTTCGAAAGCGTTCCAAGAGCTCCACGTAATTATTCAGAGCCCCGAATCATCAGGGGTAACTTGGGTCAGGGATAACTCGGGTTTGTTTTTTCGGGGACCCGAACCCGAGTTACCCCGGGCCCGAGTTACCCCGGATAACTCGGGCGCCCAGGGCCCCGAATCATCAGGGGTAACTCGGGTCAGGGATAACTCGGGTTCGCTTTTTCGGGAACCCGAACCCGAGTTACCCCGGACCCGAGTTACCCCGGATAACTCGGGCGCCCAGATTATGGGGTGCGGCTCGTTTTCAAAATGTCGTTTTCGCTTCAACGCCGCGCGCATTCGTTTTGAAAAACGTGCAGGAGCTCCACGGATGGTTGTTCCCGCCTCAGCGCCGCGCGCATTCGTTTCAAAAACTTGCAGCTGCACCTGGCCCGAAACCGTCCATTCGCGGCCCAGATCGTCCCGATCGGGCGCCAGAGGCCCGGGTTGCCGCCGGTCTGTGGCCCGAAGACCAAGCCTAGCTCTACACAGTGGCACTATGGGGGGCCACCGATGGGCCACGGTGGGCCGCTGATTTATTCGGGGGCCTGGACTTCCTTTCTCCGGGCGTCCGACACATGATGTAGGAAAGATCGCGTTCTGTGGTCTCTTGGGGGGGGGGGGTGAAACCGGACCCCCCCCCTTGTGTGGGGGGGGGTTCGAACCCCGCCCCCCTCCCGTGACGGGGGGGCGGGGGGGTACGAACCCCCCCCCCTTCCCTCCTCTGCGTCCCCTCTCCTCGGGCCGGCGCTTGTGTCGGCGGCGGCTGGCGGCGGGCGGCGGGGACGACGATTTCCATTTCTGGGCCGGCGCCGGCGCCTGCGGAGGCGGGCGGCGGTGGGGGGGAGCGTCGACGAGGACGACGGTGGTTTGTGGTGGTGGTGGTGGTGGTGGTGGTGGTGATGGTGGTGTGGTGGTTTGTGGTGGTTTGTGGTGGTGGTGGTGGGTTGTGCTGCTGGTAGTGGTGGTGGTTGTGGCGGTGGTGGTGGTGGTGGTGGTGTGGTAGATTGCGATGGTGGTGGTAGTGGTGGTGGGTTTTTGTGGTGGTGGTGGTGGTGGTGGTGATGGTGAGTTGTGGTGGTGGTGGTTGTGGTGGTGGTGGTGGCTGTGGTGGTTGTGGTTGTGTGGTGCTGTTGATTGTGGTGGTGGTGGTGGTGGGTTGAGGCGGTGGTGGTGGTGGTAGTGGCGGTGGTGGTGGTGGTGGTGGTGGTGGTAAGTGTCGCTGCGTTCCCGCCGTCGCCGGCGCCAGCGCCGGCGCTGCTGGGCGCCGCTTGCGCCGGCGCTGGCGCGAGGGGGGGGGGAGGGGTTGAACCCCCCCCCTTTGGGCTGCCTCTGGTCATCGTCGCTGCGTCCCCGCCGTGGCCGCTGCTGGCGGCCGCCTGCGTCGGCGCTGGCGCCGAGGAGTGGGGGGGGTGAAACCTCCCCCACCTTGGGAGGGGGGGGGGATCGGGAGGCGGGGGGGGTTGGGGGGAGGGGTGCCCCTTTGGTTTTGATCGATGGCGCCGAGTGCAGGGGGGGGCCCACCCCCGGTTCGAAACGCGCCGCAGAATGTTCCCCAGGCAAGCGCCCGTGAAACGCGTTTTCTTTGATGTGCAGACACCTTATGCAGACATGCTGGGTGGGGAGACTCGCGACGGCCGGGTTTTGTGGTTTTCGGCTCTTGGGAGGCCGCTTCTCGGCATGTCAGAGCTGGCCCGTGATCGGGAAGCGGTCGTAGCCCTTCGTGGCCGACCGACGGGTGAGAGGGGTGGGCGCTTCGGCCATTCAACCACGACGGCGGCAGCGGCGATGACAACACCTCCTGAGATTGTGTTTTTCTGCCCCGTCGCGCCACGGTCGTCACGAGCACCCGAAACAGCACCCCCCCTTAGGTCACGATCGTACGTGGGCGGGGGGGGCCTTGGTACCCGCCCCCCGCATGTTGGTGTTCGCACGACTTACGCTGGCCATCGCAGCGCATCCCCGCCCCCTCATAATCTTAAGTCGGGCCTGTCCCTCTACAGGGGGAACCTTGAAAAAATGGTTTGGGAACTTTTGTTCGAGCATTTTCCTTCAATGTTGGGACATGTTTTGCGTATGCTTTGCTTTTCGTCGAAAACCCTTTGTCGGGGGACACGCCCGACTTAATCCTAAGCATTACCCTTGACGCGGCCCCCACGTTGTGCGGGCGAGATGTGCACCCTTATTAAACAGTGCAGTTTGGAGGCTCGGGTTCCTTTACCAGATCTCCGAGGCGCCCTGGCCATGCCTCTAGAGGATATCCAGCGCGCCTCGGCCCTTTGGCGTCCCTTCCCAGAAAGTCCCAAAGTTTGCCCGCACCCTCCTCTGTCGAAGATCGTCACTGTTCGTGCGTCGCGGTCTGAGCCAGGTCGGTTGCCTTTCTCCAGAGGGTCAGTATCGCTGAACCGATCCCTAACCCCATCCTGATCCCTATCCGGATCCCCACCATCTTACCATCCCAGTTGGGGACATGCCTTTCGAAACCAGAAGGGAACAGCCGGTATTTCCATCCAGGGGGGTGAATCGGCCAGTGGGGCCCAGGCAACGCCAGTGGGGATAGGGATCGGTCATTCGATGCCCAGAGGGTGCGGCGCGATGGCCGCGAAGGCACGAGGGCGCGATGGTCATCGATCGCGGATCGCGGGGCGCAAGGTGCAAAGTTACTCGACGCAGGTCTGTCTTTTCGTGGCCTTTCCGTCCCCTCCTTCTCTGCTTCTTGCTCCTTCTCAATCCTCTTCCGCCTCTTTTTGCGAAGGCTTCTTGCCGGTTCCGCCGACTGCGACGGGGGACAACGACGACGACGATGACGACGACGAAAGCGATGACGATGACGACGACGACGACGACGACGACGAC